ACCTTTTCACTACTTTCTACAGAATATATCTCCATAATATTAGTTAAAATCCAAATCTGAATGTCTGCATCATCAAAGTCTGACAGAAAATATTCATGTATCTTTCGCATTTGTTCAGGAGCGCCATCGATAAGAATTAGTCGGCCTTTAAAATTCATAGTTTCCAAACTTCTTGTTAACTCAACTGCAAAAATAGATCCAAAGGAGTATCCTACTATTACAAAATCTTTTCCGTCTTTCAGCTTCGGTAATATATGCTGTAAAAATATTAAATATATTCGATGAAATTGGTCTCTTAAATAAAAATAATTCTCCGTCAATATAAAACAAAATCAATAATGTTTTAATAATATAAAATTACTAATGCAATTGCGTACGTTTGTAAGATAATCAGTTGTCTCAGATATAAGGTTTGTAATAACATCGATGTTTGCGTTATAATGTAAAGACGTTGCTGAAAATTCAATATTTGGTGCTAAGTGATTAAATATAGTTCCACATCCGTCGATACCCGGTATAAGAAATACTTCAGTCGTAGTTTTCTGTTTTTTAGTAAAAAGATCAACACAGGTTTGTGAAATGAAATCTTCATCTTTTACAACACCAACTAAATGTTTTATAATATATGGTTCTTCTGTGTCGAATTTCTTTTTGTCATCCATAATATCGTCATTCATATTTTTATCGGACATCTTAATAAGTTTCGCGAAAGTAAGATTTCGTATTTCTTGTGCAGTTAAAAAAATATCAAACTCTCGTTCAAGAGTTTGCTTGATTTCAACGCCCATCATGGAGTCCATTCCAAGTTCGGCCAAAGCCATATTTTGACTTACTACTTTCATGTTTTTTATGTCTGTAATATGAAATACAATATTATTTTTATATGTTTACTAATAAATATAATAAGTACAGTCATAAAACATATTCGGTGCGTCATTATATCGATAATTTTTTCAAACTATTGTCCAGGTATTACAAATTATGGTTCCATATATGCGTTACGGTGTTAGCAGTTTAACAATTAATTGTCTTAATATAAATTGAAAGGTCTTAATATAAATAACGTAAATAATACTCGGAACAGATTGAAGAAGTCATGGAGCATTGTCCAGACAATTAAATTCATACATATATACGTACAAAAATATTATTTTATTTTACATGAGCGCAACTACCTAAAATATTGGCAACAACTTCTACCACGCTGCCAAGTCCGCTAAATCCCGATTTCTTTTCAGCTACGACCATGCTGCTTACAATTGGCCGGTTTTGAATTAAAAATTTATCGAGTTCGTCGAGACAGCAGGATATCTTTTGCTGCAAAGTGCCACCAATAATCAATTCTTTATCTTCCTCCTGCATGTCTGCGACGAGACCAACGTCGCCCACAGCTCCCCATTGAATTGCTAATCCAGGTAATCCTTCCT